TTTGAGCGAGATACATAATGAATGTCAATATTTGAATTATAGAATTATACATACGATGATGACACTACGTGACCAGCGATCCGGGAAATTTGGAAAAACGAAAAGAAAAACCGGGTATTCGAAGCCATCGAGCGAAAACGGGAAACCGACGACAATTTAAAAAATTACTTCGTTCTCTTTCCGATAACAATAAGATTATGGACATTGAAAACATTTGAAGACCTTTGCACTGGACTATATTTTCTAGATTATTGATGAATTATTAAGAGAATTTTAGAAAGTAAAATTCCATGGAATTTTAGGAGATTCACCAAGGTCAAGGTGTTTCAGAGAAACTTTCCAAGGCAGTTTAGCGAAGAACTCCTAAAGAGTTTTGGCTAGAAGTCCAAGTCAATTGTGTGAGTTCAAGGTAGAATTTTAAAGTAAAGGGTGCCCCACATCAAATTACATCACGGAAAAAACGCTGTAGAAAACTACCCATTGGGTATTTTCTCTTGAAAACTTGGGTAGAAGTAGTTTAGAGTTTATTGTTTACACTATATTTTTTATCGCTGTCAGCTTTTCGAAAGTTGAAAAAATGGCTTCACCCGAAAAGCAACGTCGCGAATTGATTTTGCGCAAGCACCTGGAAAATCCTCAACTCTCTCATCGGGACATCGGAAAACAACTCGGAATCGTGAAGTCAACGGTGAGTCGTGTGATTAAACGTTACTGATCATCGAACGGAAGGAGAAATGCGGTCAGAATGGATGTTCTATTAGTGATCAAGATCACAAGCGTGTCGTGAAAGCGTTTAAGTGGAATCCCAATGCTTCGGTCAGGGACGTGGCCAAGTCTTCCGTTCAGAGAGCCAAGGACCGGGAGGGACTACATACGTACAAAGTGCAGAAGGCTTCAAAGGTGAAGAATGGCAAAATACGGTGGGAAAGTCATGGGCCCGGAAAATGTACACCCATATGCTGACGAAGTCTCTTTGTCTCATCATGGATAATAAGACTTACGTCAAGGCGGACTTCTGGAAGCTTCCGCGACTACTGTTCTTCACCGCCCAGTACAAGTTTGATGTTCCGGAGGAAGTAAGGAAGCAGAAACTTTCAAAGTTTGCCAAGAAATACATGATTTGGCAAGCGATCTGCTCATGCGGCAAACAGAGTGCGCCGTTCGTGACTACCGGGACTGCAAACGGGGAGATCTACCTCAAGAAGTGTCTACAGAAGCGTTTGCTTCCTCTTTAAAGCAACACGAGGGCCCTACGATCTTCTGGCCGGATCTAGCTTCGTGTCATTATTCAAATGTTGTCCTGGAGTGGTACGAAGCCAACGGGGTCACTATCGTACCCAAGGACAATGGCCCCCCTCAAAGCACCGGAACTAAGGCCCATCGAAAAATACTCGACTACGGAAGCATCCCAAGGAGGTCAAACCTGAGGAAGACATGAAGAAAAAGTGGATTTCCGTACAGAAGAAGCTAAAGGAAATGCTTGAGAACATTGGGCCGTATGAATAAAAAGAGTTTACTTCACTTTCCCGTGCTTTTCTTAAGGAAAAAGTAAAGTAAACGACCTATTCCAATAAAATCCTGTAAAGAGTTTTGAGCAAATTTTCAAGGCAGTTGAAACATTGAAAATTTTTGAAGACTTCGAACGCAGAACCAAATGTAAGATCCAAGAAAAATGCTACTGTCTTGGCAAGGTAAGTCAAGGAAGAACTCTCAAACAGATGTTCCTTGGTGAATTAGAACTTTGAATAAGAATAAGCTAAGGAAAACAACTCGGAAACTTTTCAATCGAGCAAAAGTTTCTGGACAGTGGGACCAATATAAAAAGGCCCTTATAGCATACACTAAAGAATTAAGGAAATCACGCAGAAGAACCTGGAGGTCTCACTGTGAAAACATTGTGAATACTCCAGATGTAGCCAAACTACAAAAAGTACTTTCTAAGGACCATTCAAATGGTCTTGGAAATTTAAAGAAAACAAATGGTAATTTTACTATTAATACAAAAGAAACCCTTGAAATAATGATGAAAACTCATTTCCCAGGTGTGGTGTCGAGTGATAATGTAGTAGGTACAGAAGAAAATTGTAGGCCATCCGGGACTACGACTGTAAATTCAGCCGTACTTAATACCATCTTCACACGAACTAAGTTTGAGTGGGCAGTGAACTCCTTCGAATCATTTAAATCTCCTGGAAAAGGTGGTATCTTTCCTGTATTTTTTCAGAAAGGTGGAGGAGTACTACTTGATTCCTTAACTAATATTTTTAAAGCTAGTTTAGTGCTTGGTCATACACCAAAAATATGGAGCCACGTTCGTGTTGTCTTTATTCCTAAAGCAGGCAAAAGAGACAAAACAAATCCAACATCGTTCAGACCAATAAGTCTTACATCTACCATGCTTAAAATCATGGAAAAGATAATAGACGAGTATATAAAATCAAAATATTTGCAAACGAGCCCTCTTAACAGGTCTCAATTTGCTTATCAATAAAACAAATCTACAGTCACAGCTTTACATAAACTGGTTACAAAAGTAGAAAATACTTTTGACAAAAAAGAAATTGCTCTCGTAGCATTTCTCGATGTAGAGGGCGCTTTTGATAATACATATTACAAATTTATAAAAAACTCCATGGAAAAAGGAACGTTGATCCTTGCACCCTGAATAATAGAGAAGTATCGGCTGACTTGGGAGAATCATCAATTACAATAAAGACCACTAGGGGGTGTCCTCAAGGAGGTGTATTGTCACCCTAATTATGGTCACTTGTTGTTGATGATCTTCTCAATAAACTAGTGGAAGAAGGCTTCGAAGTTATCGGGTTTGCTGATGACGTGGTCATAGTAGTTCGTGGAAAATTTGATCCCATCATCACAGATAGAATGCAATCTGCATTGAACTGCACATTTCAGTGGTGCCAAAATGAACCCATCCAAAACAGTTTTGGTCCCGTTCACTCGCAGAAGACAAGTAACACTCAAAAGTTTGTCAATTAATGGATCTATTATAAAATACTCGTCAAACGTAAAGTATCTGGGAGTCATTCTAGATGATAAACTTAATTGGAACTTACACTTAGAGCAGGTAATAATAAAAGAACACGAATGCTCTCTGGGTTAGTAAAAAAACATTTGGAAAAAATGGGGACTTAATCCTAAAATGATTCATTGGATCTACACGGTTATTGTAAGACCTAGAATAGTATACACTTCATTGGTTTGGTGGACTAAAACAAAGCAAAGCGTGACCCAGAAAAAGCTAGAAAAATTTCAACGTTTGGCCATAACAGGAGCAATGCACAGCACACCATCAAAGGCCATGGAGGCAGCTCTCAATATGCTCCCGCTGCATCAATACGTGCAAATGGAAGCTGGAAAAAGTGCACTAAGGCTGTGCAGAACAAACGTCTATCTTGAAGGCAATCTTTCAGGGCACCTTAGTATACTGAAAGATTTTCTCATTAATCCATTAGTAGTAATGAACGAAGACTGGATGGAAAAAAGGTTAAACCTAGATATACCATATAATGTAGTTAATGCTAACCGCGAAATATGGGAATTAGGAGGGCCAATAATTCCTCCAGGATCAATAATTTTCTACACAGATGGTTCAAAAATGAATGATAGCACTGGAGCTGGGATCACAGGCCCGGGGCTTAACGTTTCAATACCAATGGGAAGATGGACAACTGTTTTTCTTGCAGAAATTAAAGCTATCTTAGAGTGTGCATATATTTGTCGAAAAAGGAATTATCGACACACGTGAATCTGCATATTTTCTGATAGCCAGGCAGCATTGAATGCACTACAATCTTTCACATGCCAATCAAAACTGGTGTGGGAATGCATAATACTTCTGAAGCAACTGGCAGTCAAAAACCAGGTTTATCTGTACTGGGTACCAGGCCATTGCGGTATCGAAGGAAACGAAAAAGCCGATTTACTCGCTAGACAAGGCTCAAGTGTCCAATTATAGGACCAGAACCTTTCTGTTGGGTATCTAAATGTGTAATACAAATGGAAATGAAAAAAAAATGGGAAGACTATTATGATACAATCAAATTGGGCTGCTACGAATACTTCAAGGCAATCCAAATTGTTTATTACTCCAAACAAAGGAATTACGGAAAAAATACTAAATTTAAATAACAAATCACTAAACATACTTATTGGGCTACTTACGGGACACTGTCCCGTTAGATATCATTTGAAAAAGATAAATCGAAGTCAAACACATATCTGTAGGTTTTGTGACTGTGAAACAGAGACCTCTCAACATTTGCTCTGCGAATGTTCGGCACTATTCGTACACAGAAGACAATATTTCAACAAAAGCATACTAAGTCCTTCTGAGATTTGGTTAAAAAATCCCAAAATGATGATTGAATTCATTCTAAGAATCATACCAGATTGGGGTACTCCGCATTATCAGGCAACAACGGCAGTTACCCTAAATGGTAACTCGTTGTCCTGAACAGATGCGATACTAAACAGGGGTATACCACAATAGATCAGGGGTATACTGTTGGAATGCCAAAGGTGCTGAAAATGTCACGACACATGCTTTCCGTATTCTCTGCTGTGATCGATCTGCACACCCTGATTTCCGGCCATTTCGTGTAGGCATCAACCAGAATGAAGAAATAGCAGTCCATACACGGACCAGCAAAATCCGCATGGACACGTTGGAACGGCTCAGTAGCAGGCTCCCAGTAGTGTGGTTGAACTTTAGGCGGCACAGATAGAACGGATTGACATTCGGCGCAGTTTGCGATCATCTCCTCGATTTCCTTGTCCATACCGTTCCACCAGCAGTAGCCCCTTGCAAGTGAAGAATGCAGCTCTGTTAACACCCGCTTGCGAAGTTCTGCCGGCACGTATACACGAATCCCACGAAGAAGACATCTCTTCTGCAAGGAAAACTCAGACTGGTCGATTCCAAATCTGTACTTTCCATCGATGATTTGTCCATGTTTCAGTCCTTGGATTAGTGTACTCACAGACTTATCCGCGGCTGTTGCTTCAGAAAGTTCAGCTGCAGTCAACGGCAATGTATCTATTTGATTGATTTCTACGACGTCGGATTCCTCGATCACGTTTTCAGGATCCATACGCTTCAGTGGCATTCGGGATAGGGCATCAGCATTGGCATGGTCCGCCGACTTACGGAATCGAATTTCGTAGTCGAAGGACTGTAGATACGTAGCGTAATGCTGCATTCGAAGTGCAGACATCACTGGGAGGCCTTTACTCTCGCTAAATATCTTCGAAATTGCTTGATTTTCTGTAATCAGAACAAATTTCCGACCGTAGAGGTATTGGAAGAACTTTTTCACTCCCAATACGATTGCATACGCCTCCTTGTCTATCTGCATGTACCGTTGCTGAGTACGATTCAGAGTCTGCGATGCAAATTGTATGGGACGCTCGATACCGTTCGGAAAAATATGACTCAGCACAGCTCCCACACCGTACGGCGAGGCGTCGGTTGCTAGAACAAGTGGCAGATCAGAAGAGTAGTGTAACAGGCAGTTGTCCTTCTGCATTCGTTCCTTCACAGTTTCGAATGACCTTTCACAGTTCTTGGTCCAGTTATTCAGCGGATACAGCAAAGTACTGAGATTTTCGTAGAAGCGACCGTAATAGTTAACGAGTCCGACTAGTGAACGTACCTCGTCTTTGTTTTTCGGACGGGGCATGTTTAGAATCGCATCAACCTTTTGTTGGACCTTGTGGATACCGTCACGATCCATGAGGTACCCACAGTACTCGCATATTGTTCGGTGATTAGTTTTGATTGTTTCATGTTAGTATATAAGTGGAAATATTATGTGTAATTAGATATAAGTAACGTTCTACCCTTCAGCCAGGCCTGATGCCTGGCGGAGGTAATACAAAGTGAATAAAAGTAAATTTCTAGTGTTAGTCTACGGAAGAAAATAGAATTGTGTCCGCCGAAAACTAATCGCCCTATGGTCAATCTCCTCCAGTCATCAACACAACGTAGGGCCTAGTCGTATCCTGGCCATTTTTTCCGATTCACACGAATACCATAGTAACTCAGCCTGCGCATAACTTCTTCTAGTCGTTGCAAATGTATCGCGTCCGTGAACCCAGTTATTTTGATGTTATCGAGGAATACACTTACACCTTCGATGCCTTTCAGAATCGTTTCGATTTGACGCTGCCAAATCGCAGGAGTAGATGAAACGCCGTACATCAAGTGGTTCGGCCGGTACAGTCCACGATGTGTATTTAGTGTAAGAATCGCCCTATCTTCCTCAGCAACCTCCATTTGAAGATAGGCTTGCACGAGATCATATTTAGTGAACTTCTGGCCACCTGCCAGTGACGCGAAAAGCTCATCAATAGTTGGCAGGGGATGCTGATCCACTTTCAGATAGGGATTCACCGTCTGTTTGTAATCCCCACAGATACGCACACGGTTGTCAGCTTTTTTACCAGCACGATCGGTGTTGCCCAGCTACTGTAGTTCACTTTCGTAAGCACTCCTTCGGATTCCAACTTATTCAGTTCTTTGTCCACTATGGCTCGCAAGTTGAACGGAATCTTCCGGGCTTTCAGAAATACTGATTGAACATTCGGCTTCAAATGTAGCTTCGCCTGCACTGTCGAAATTTTCCCGATGGAATCCTCGAAAACCGTCGCATACTTCACGAAAATCTGTTTCAGGCACTCATCGGTATTACAATAACCAATCGCACGATCGATTACGTTCACTGGATCCGGCTTCTTCAAGATGACGTTCCAGTATACGTTCAATACTTTCAACCACTCTCTGCCCAGCAGTGGATGCTTCGAAGAATTCACCACGTACAACGGTAAGTTAATTCGTACTCCACGGTACTCGACGTCTGCATCAAGGACTCCCAATACACGAATGTCGGTTTCACAGTAACTAACGAGATTCAACGAACACTTCCGCAACTGAACCTCTTTGAAATGCTTACGGAAAAACTGCGAACTGATGATGCTAACGGGGCTTCCCGTGTCGATCTCGAACCGAATTGCAACACCGTTTACCGTGAGCAACCGACTTTGTGTTTAGTGTGCAAATCTCACCGAACGTAAACTCATTCGTATCACCAACATTTCCCTTAATATCACTACGCTGTTCAATGTAGTTTGTTTTACCTGCACTGGGTTTCGTTACTGAGCCTCCGGCATGGGTCTTGCCCGCGGAAGCCTTCTTCATACAAACCCGCTAAAGGTGCCCTTTAATGTTGCAATACGAGCACACGGTATTTTGATGTTTGCATGCCTTAGCTAGGTGCGATTTGTCCCCGCACCGATAGCAGTATTTTGCTCTCGCGGATTTGCCAGCAGTTGGAGAATTTCCACCCACTTTCTTATTGAAAACCTTACCTCGTAGGTGTTGAACAGCGTTTACTTCCGATTTCGAAATTGTGCCAGCAATTTCTGCTGCACCCTTCTGTGACAGCTCCATGCTGACAGCAATGTCCCTCGCATCGTTCATTGTTAGGTCCCTTCGTTCTACAAGACGTCCTCGAATATAATTCCGCTTCAAGCCGAACACTAGCTGGCTCCTCAGCGCTGTGTTCAGATAGTTACCGAAATTGCAGGTAACAGCAATACGACGAAGAGCCACAAGGTATTCGTCGATGGTCTCGTCCGGGGAAGTGGCATTCTTGTCTCCCTGACGACGGCACTTGAAGCGAAAGTTTTCGCTAATTTCCAGCGGCCTTGGGTCGAAATGCTGCTCGAGGGTATCTACGATCACTGGATAGGTTTTGGTCCGGGGATTGTCCGGCGCAATCTTGTCGCACAATGTCTCGTATGTTTCCGGCCCCATCAAATGGAGCAGCAGGATCCGACGTAGGTTTTCGTTAGCTACTGCGTAAATGGTGAAAGTCGAGTCTTTCTACCCATCTAGACCAGCGTGTTTTCTTCCGGTCGTACGCATCAATGTGGAAATTAGATGGCAGATTTCCACCAGCAGCAGCAGGAACAGGATCCGGATTCGGATTCGCCATCCTCGTCGCCAAAACTGTCGTACGGGGCGGAAAAGTAAATCGTGATCTTTATTTCGAGACGAGTTGAAACACGTTTTACTTTCTACGTTGTTTATTCAATACTAATTCGTGAAACAAGATGTGTATATGTTTTAAGGTGAGGACATTTTTGGATTCAATTATATGAAATGGTAGATATGACAATCACAATACATCAGCTTAATGGTCGCAGTGGTTCAAATCCTAAAAAAAAAAAAAAAGTGTAAGTGACCCAAAACTTGAGGAACTATTACTTGTTTACACACTTAGAAAAATTAATGTAAATTTAGGTGCTTTGAGACTGACATATACGAGCGTCGGTTTTGACATAAAATTGAGTCATAATAGACGCGAAATTCAGCGCAAACGTAATTTCGAACTTTTCAGTCTCGGAGCAGTTAATTTTACATGACATGTTTGTTTACGTCCATCCTTTATGTCAAAGATGGATCCGTCACGAGTAAGATTAGGTATTTCTAAGTGTGTAATTTATATTTGGTTACTGACATATTCACAGAACTCGCAACTATAGGTGTACTACCACAACAAAGGTTATGGAATTTTCAGGAATTATTTGTGCTATATAACTAACTTATCGAAATTTAACTTGGAAATCTGCATTAATTATAGTACCGCAACTATAGGAACACTCAAAACTATACAGTGTTCACTTGGCTGTCGACAAAAGCAGGCCAATCTCGATGTGTACCACGCGATCGTCTGTTTTCTCGGCAGCAACCCTTCCCAAGTAACATTGCAAGTTTTATCATGGTTTTAAAGCATTCTACAAGTCTAAATCATGGTCTACATGAGCATGAGCATGAGCATGACTGACCGCCTACGGTTGCTACTCTGTTATTGCCAGACCAGCTGTAATTACACAGAGAACCAATAGACGATGCTTGGGACTAGCAATCATCCTCAATGTGTAAAAACTGGTGATCTCGAATTAGGCAATACCAGCGCCAGCCGCGACTGAACGCAGGTCAAGAAAGGAATGGGCAGGAATGTGTGAACGTGACACTCCCTTTGATGGAAGCCGAGGAGTACTCTGCACTTCCACGAGGAATCACAGGGATGTTGGGTAAGAGGGTTGGGTTAGCAGCAGGGTTCGTTTTGGTAAACGATCGTATAACACGAAGGAGCTTGGGATTGAACCCACGGTCTTCGGCACCGACGACAACGAAAAGTTTTACAAAATACACGATAAACAAGCGATATTTTAATATTTTTAATATGAAAGGATCTGGGACCGCGTTTTTCTCCTCAGTAAGCAAGCCACTGCAACCGACGATCTTTGAAATCCTAAAACTAAAAGCTACGAAAGAGTATTTAGGCCTTCATTAAGATCCACTTTCACGCGACGTTCAATGTTTCGATTTTCTCTTTACGCATGGTTCAGACAATCATAACAAGCTATGACCGGCGTGACAATTGTTTAGGACCTGGTTAAACAAGCTATTCAAATGAAATTACGTTCTCAAATTTCACTTGCAATATAATAAACAACAGAAATACGCGATAATTCATATTTTCAGCGGTTGATGTTTAATTTTAAATATACTAACGGTACTTCCTACGACTACGACGGTGATTACGACAGCGACTACGACGGCGATTACGACAGCGACTACGACGGCGCCTACGACAACGACAACAGAGAATTTGTAACTTGCCATTTGTCTAGGATAAACACCTTTGCCCGACATCTCCACTGGTTCTTCGTGTCCGCTATCTGTCACTGTTTGCAAAATATCTAATATCAATTACCTTTGTTGTGATACTTCCTGTATTGCCATGGTGATCTGGGAGGAGGTTCGCATCTAGTGCTTTCCCCAGGAACCGTTCACGGCCAGACTTGGGCATAACCAGCGACACATCCTTCAGCTAAATAACAATCTCCGACACTCAATGCAAATCGCAGGCACACTTACGCTAGTTACAAAAAAAAAACACCCGTGCAAAGAAACGGATCCAATAAACGTCACTCTTGCGAAAGCACACCCGTCGTCGTCGAACGGCAAAAAAAAAGGAATCGGTGGGCAATTTTGTGATACAGATTTACAAAATCAAACGGGAATGCACGAATTTCACCACACCCAACTGCGAAACACGTTCAGAAGCACTTATGGTACACTTTCGTTCGAAAACACTTATTTTTTTTTTCAAAAATAGTTGCGAGTGAACCAACATCATCACCGCGTAAATAAACTAAAATTTAAATTATCACTCGCGATGCCACAAATTTCTGGACCGGGAGAAAAAATCAAACAACGCAGATAGCGTTAAATTTTCTGTTGCTTGCAAACATGATGAATCATGTTTTGTTTCTCGATTCTAAAACTTCTCGGAAAGCGAGAAAACCACCACTCACACACGTATAACCGTCCGGAGGCAGAGTGCCAGCGCTAATCCGGCAAATGCAGCCAAAAACTATGAAAGCGAATGCACACACAAAACAGAGAACACACTTAATACACAACCGTATCCAAAGGCGTTCGAAACTCGACTCTCTTATGCAAAATAATGGATTTGCGTTCACAAAACGCACGAAATCCTAAAAAACAATATTAAGTATTTTTTTTCATTTTAATAGGTAGATAAAAGATATGCCAAGAATTAAATGGAGGAATTTCAAGATAAAATGTTCTGATCGCGAGATAGTCACGATCAATACTGAAATTTCGCATGCATTCTGAGGAAGCTCTACTTGAATATTAAAATAGGACTATTATTGAGACATGGCACTGATTTCTTTTTTTTTTAGACTTATTTATTTATTTCGTCAAGCAAAGTAGACTACATACAATGGTTACAATGTTTTACTTACATACTATGCATTATTTCTATAATGTTTTAATTGGGGTTTAATTTCTTCTTTTGACATAGTGATGACTTCACAGTGTAGATCATCATTCGATTGAAGGGGCCATTTTTTGCGTAATTTGTTCTGTGTGATTTTTCTGAGAATAATTTTCGTGTTCTTAGATGCCGACAGGGTGTGTAGAAGTTTAATTGTGAAAGTATTTCTGACTACATGCGATGCGATGTGAAATAATGTCATTGATGAAGAAAAGCATTGCAAATTCGCGGCGTTCTTTGAGTGTTTGTAAGTTGATGAGCATACAGCGTGCTTCATATGATGGAAGAGGAAATGCAGTCCAATTCAATTTCAGAAGGGCATATAGGGGTTCCGTCCTACTAAGCACAACCCGCGCTTTACCTCTCTTTTCTGAACGCGTTTAAACAAAAACATGGAATATTTCTGGCAAATATGACTTCTAAATTTATTCACCTTTCTATACGTACCTTTAGGTTTGATAAAGAGTCACACATTGTTGAGATATTGTTTAAAATCTAATACTGCCTAGTCTAAATCATGGTCTACAGAACCTCATAAAACCAAATTTGTTACTTGGGTTGTGTGGTCCTCCTCGTTGTTCTCCATCAGCAGTTCTTTCGGTCGATGCGTCGTCGACTTTGGAAAGCAACCGTTTAGTGATGAGTATGTTCTGCGTCCATTGCTGCAATGGAAGCGCTCTGACCCCCGTTGGCGTAACTGCCATACAATGAAACCAATGGCAGCGGCTCCAGTTCTGATGGAGGAGGCTTTTTGGATAGCGGAAGATAACGTGTTTATTGTGTTGTACCTTTTGACTATAGTTTTAAGATGTATTGTATAGTGAAAAAGAATCCTCGGATCTGCAAAGTTAATTCGTTTGAGCCTTATCAAATAAATTAGTAAACAACAAATTCAAAACTATAGGAGCGTTTACCCAATGATCAATTTAACTTCTTCTGCGTTCGGAAATCTCAAAACATTCTTGTCATTTTGAAGTGGTTTCTTAGCCTGGAACCTTTTTTTTTCTGAAAGTACAAAAGCTTCAAAACTGTTCAAAGGGATCATATATTTTGCCAGTGGTTGGCTGGGGTACCCTCACCATCCCGCAACAGGGAAGTTTGGTAAAGGAGATGAACAACCCGATTCGTGCCTTCCTCAAAATTGACCTTTGCTCGCTTTCTACTATCTATATACAATTTTCACACTGCCGTACTCTAACGGAACTACCAACCTATCCTCTTCAGAACTTTCTCTAGTTAATAAATTATCACACTAAAGCTTCATTAGTATAGCATTTCCAACGAACTCTATTTATTCATATATATACCAAAATCAGAAAATTTAAAATCAGGCTGATTCCTACGCCAATGTTTGTAATTTAATTTCGTCACCTGAATACCAGCCCGGAAAATGCCTACCTTCTCAGAGAATAGAGAGAGAGAGAGAGAGAGCATCGCAGTAGTTATTTATTCGTGCAGTCTTTCCCGGCTAACTTGATTCGCGATTTTTATCTTTGCGAGTCCCGAAAAAGCCCTCATCGCAGTAAACGTGTTTAAACGGCACAACTTGCACCATTGCATAACGTAATCGGTAAAGGCAAGCAAATAAAAACTGGAGGAACCCAAGTAGCTGGCACAAATGGGACAACATCTCTCACAAACCGGACCGGGGAACCAGTCCGGTGTGACTGCAGCAGGAGCAAGTTCCGCCAGATTCCAAGAACTGATAGCCGGTGAAAATCTCGAAAATTATACACTGGTAGATGCAGCTGATTATCGACTCTGCTCTCTGACTGTGTGTGCCAACCAACAACGGCGGTGGATGCCCATCCAGATCCAGGCAATCCTCGCGCAATGTTGCAGTTATCGCTGGGGTGAATTGAGTATGCTCGCGCTGGAAAAAGCTACGTAAATCAAAATCAATGACCATGCAAAGGAGAGCGGGTGAGTGCGCACCGCGTGGCGGCCACCTGATACCCAGGGGACACTTGCATGCTGTGGCCTGCCGCTGGAGCCGACTTATTGTGCAAGAAAAAGGACTTCAATTAAAAATAAATACAAAATAAATAAAACATTGCCACCCATAAATTATCAATTTAACAACTGGGCGGTATCAATTTTCAGTGGTTAACTAACAACAACAACAACAAAGGGCAAGAACGGTAAAAGAAGATTCTGTGTCGTCCCCCTCGATCGCAGCAAGCAGCGGAACTATAATTAGCGAGCATCTTTTATGAGTGTCGTAAACGTGCGTTGTTACCACGGTTACCACGGCCTACTACCGTTCAAGGACCCAGAGCGAAGGGCACTTTTGGGATGCATACTCCTTTTCTTTTTGCGTCCAGGTGTGAATCACTTAATAATCAATTTTCGGTCCCCCGAGGCTCCGATTCTGTCGCATATAATTATGTGCGGTTTCATTTGCGCAGGGCGGTTTTATTAGTACGACAAACGGGTGCATGACGTCAACCAATAATAGACCATAAAAATTCAATTAGGGCCACTCGGGATGCTGCTGGAAAAGTGCAACATTTGAAATGCAAATCACTGCATTGAAGCAAACGGATACACGCAACTGGTAACAACAACAAGTGAGTGACTGACAGCAGTTCCTTCTGTCATCCCGTTTTATCGCTCCTCGCTGCCTACTACGACGGACGATGGATGCTGCTGCTGCTGCTGCTGATGATGACCTGTTGGTCGTCGGTCGGCTGGTGTGGCAGGATTCGTTCGAACGAACGAGCGTTCATGCATGTCAGCGCTTCCCGGCAAAATACCTACATTCGAACGCGGAACAGAGACGTGCATCATTTCGTGAAGTGAATAAATGAATATTTTAATAAATGCATGCGTTTTCCTTCTCATTTCCAGAAGAACCCGTTCGTTCTGTTTTTCTTAAGTTTGCCAAGGAAGAGAGCGCCATCCAGCCGGCAATCAGAATCGGAACAGTCTTTAAAACGGGCAATTTAGTCGGGAAAAAACATGAAATCATCGCTTCGACGGATCCTGTGGCAATAATTGGCAAGAGGTGAAGAAGAGGATGAGCTGTGGACCACACTTTAGAATTGTTCGACTGGATCGACATTTTGCCTTGTTTCGGAGATTGCAAGACCCGTCTCATAATTGTTTCAAATCTTGCCCCATATTTTCTCCCAGCCAATAGGATACCAACATTTCCCGATCGCCGCAGTGAAGACCACGTTTGAACTCCCCCACTCACGTTTTGCTACCATCATCGTCGCATTACTAGGTAAACATTGGCATCGCGGGGCGTTTCGGTTGCTAGGGCAGCGAAACTAAACCAAAGCAGATACCACTATAGATCGAATTACAACAAATACACCCACCGATTTTTTTTTCTCTACAACAGTGCTGATAGTAGTACAAACCGAATAGTAGTAATAGTAGATTAGCCAACGTCGTGCTTCGAGATGCTGGGAAAATCCTAGCCCAAAGGCTCGAACTCGTGCCGCAAGGCAGACAGAGACAGTGAGATAGCATAGTGTGCGATGCTTAAGGCGAGGTCATTACATGGGTTAGTACCAGAGGCAGAGAGTTATTCCGTGTGCCAACAAAGAGAACCAACATAAACGGAGCATAAAACAGGCAACCATCACCGCTTGTTGGCCGCAACTTGCAACTCGTCAGTGATCGATGGCGTGATTCAGATCGCGATGAAAATATTATTGGAAATCGTTCGGTTTTTTTTTTCTTCTCTTGCGCAAACGGAGGAGTCAAGCAAGGTTTTCCCCGGAGCCTACTGCTTGACTCCGAACAAGAGTGGCGATTGCTTCTCGGATATCTTCGCAAAGCATGCTACGATCCAAAGGAAACTTCATACTCTATAAATAATAATTTAGCTTGCTGTGATTTGTAGACGAGGCTGGCGAAGGTGCAATCATCCTGCTCGTTTTTTCAACGGTGACCACTCACCTTCTGTTTTCCGTATGGCACCCGTAAACAGTCTTGTTTCGGATTTGCTGCATTTAATTTCCAAAGACTTCGTTTTCATTTCGCCTACTACCGCTGATTGGCTCGTCATTGAATCTGGCTATGCTACCCGGTTAAATGCTTGCTTATTTTTCATGTACATTGCACCTACTACTCACTGGCCTGGGATCGGTTCAAGAAGCATTTCAGCGCCCCTGATTGGTCCATTCGAAACACACAAAAAAATGCTCTACAAATGTTTACTGACTCCATTTCGTCTCCGTTCACATCGCATGCTGCGATTCGATTGGTGGTGACCCACCGCGTCACTGAAGCGAAAAGCGGGCTACTATGGTTGCAACTTTGTCGTCGTCGTTTTGGACTACATCGCATCGCACGCGGATTACCTCTATCGCGAAGAAACTCGATCCAGTCGATGTCTGCACATAATTTACGACTGTCCCGGTGACTTCCTGTGCCGGGCGATCCTGTCACGATCTGATCCGAATGGATCTCAACCAGCAGCAGGGTGACCTATTTTCCCACAACCACACTGGGGTACTGGTCGATCCCCGGGGGAAAAATATGCTGTATTCCTTTTAAGTCACACTGGAATTTGCCACCACCACGACCACTTCTTCAGCCGAAGGAAGGACTCTCGCGAACGGGACGCGCAACGGGTTCGGTTCATTGTTTTTGGCGGAGATTTCAACTCCATATTCGTGTCAGTATCACCAACTGTTTTGCTTTGAACGACCGAACAACAACAACAAAACACGAAGAAGAGGAAGTACGGAGTCCTTATATGGAACCACTGCTCGACTTCAAGCGCAGCCAAGTGCAGTCAGAGTAGCCAACGAGTGGTGCATCGTCATCATCTTATGTGGTTTCATCCCTCGGCGATGTTGTCAGCTTCATCATCGTCACCGAAGACCATAAATCATAAAATCGCCAAATGTAGGATGATGGCGATGAGGGTGTGAAAGTATCCCGAGACACGAACCGGGTGGGAGGTGCGGAGATAAAAGTTTATCATTATATCAAAAACATGCACTCTGCAGAGCGACTGACCGAGTGAGAAGCCAAAAACGTGGGGCAAAGTTGCACTGTAATCGCAGTAGGCAGATATGTATAAAGGTATCGCGCTTGACCGCGAAAGGAAGTGCGTGATTTTGTTCGTTTTCTTTTTTGTGTGTTGTGTTTTACGATACAGGTTACACAGCAGATGTTCACGCCAGTTGCGAATTTGAAGGGGATTGTGTGTCGTCCTCCTGGTAGCCTTTTTGATTCATATTTTTCGGTTGCAGTTCAAACATGTTTTGCTCTTGCCGTTAGTAGCAAAGTTTGACGTTGGCAGGAGAAGATGTTTTGAAACATGTTATCGAAGACTGCCATGGATTGAACAGAATATGTAGCGCTGCTGCCTCGGTTGCTTACCTAAGGCAATCTCAGGGAATTTTCATTAAATTCAGGGAAATATTTCTCAATCCCTATTGCTAACTGCATTACGAACTATAAGGATATCACCAATCATGAAGGGAAGTGATTCAAGTTTTTTTTTTCAAGAAGGCTTAGACTTGAATAATTTAAATCCAGGGAAAAGTTCTTTGGACTAGAAACATTTGTTAAAGATTCAAGACTTGAACCATTTCTTCAATGTTCTGGAACGTTAGTCCAGTTCAATCCATTTCACCAGGTTTTGTATTTTGGAAAATGTTGAAGTTAGCTTTTTATTAAAATCCAAGGTGATTTTGGATCATTTGAGTTCCGATGAATTCCGGATTTATTACTATTTTTAATATTAAAAGGATTCTAAAATGCTTTGCAAGGTTTCATACTTGTGATTTTTTTTTTTAATTTAGAATTCAATTTTATTTAAGATCCCAGTCTTAATTAAAAACTACAAGGGACAATCCTATGGGGTTGTAAGCAATGGTGACGTAGGACTACGTGGTCATATATAATAAATCTTATTTGTTAACTGCAGCAGGACCTTATGTTTTGTGTAGGAATAGGAATTTTAGCGGGGTTCTCTCTGTTTATACTCTTTACATAGATGGCCCACAGAGACTCACGAAGAGCTACTGATTCCGATCAATAGCGGTGCCGCTTCTTCCTTCTTCTATGGATGCTCATGTGGGCTGCAGCTCGCTGCTTGCAGGCATCCTTTCGTTGTGTACTGGAGAACGAGAACAATGTTCAACGCCACGCGCTGAAAGCACTGTTGCTGCTGATGCCAATGCCTTGATAGCTAGCAGCTTGCGGGGAGCCTTTCGTTGTGTACTGGAGAACAACACCACTCACCACGCAGTGCTTGGATAAACACCGTTTGGTGATACCGGATGGAATTCAGCCTTGAAATCTGTGTTAGGGAAATCGCTTTTCGCAGGCAATCGGTGATAATTTTAACTATCATAGCAACAGTTGCTCATTCGTGCAATTTTCAATAGTGACATTTTGAAAAATGATAGTCTTAACTTTAACAGATTCGTGGAAAAAATCTTGTCGATTGGCGTATTAAGAATTAAAATCCATCATCTCTGGATCAAAATCAGACCACTTTCATGCCACGACCGATTTTGGTTTTTAAAATTTCACCTCCAATGTTGCCTTAAAGTACATGGTATTTTAGATTTACCTACACATATCTAGATAGAGCTGGAATTTGTAAACAATGACTTCTCTCGATGATTTTTAGGAATCCAAGGCACGCCCACGCAAACCAACATTAGCGTCGGGTAGAAGAAGGCTTACCCTACTTGATGGTGATGTTGATTTACGTGGCCGAGCCTTGAATTTCAAGACATCATCGAAAGAAGTAATTGTTCACAAAAATTGTTACGCCCTAATTCCAGCTCTATCTTGATATGGGAACTGACATCAGATTGATGAAATAATACTCTTTTTAAAATTTATGCTGAAAAGGACCGTTTTGTCGTGCTGGTTGAGTAATTCTGAGCTATTAGGGTGTTAAACACAGATGAGACTGGTGAGCTGTATGTTATTTGGAATTACGAAGAGCTACTGATTCCGATCGTTAGTGGTGCGGCTTCTTCCTCCTCGTTATATAGATCCACATGTGAGCTGCAGCTTGCTGCTTGCAGACAGCCTTTCGTCGTGCATTGGAGAACACCACCACTCACTACCGGATGGAATTCATCTTTGAAATCTGTGTTAGTGAAATCGGTAATAATTTTACTTATCATAGCAACAGTTGCACATTCGAATAATTTTCATTTGTGACATTTTGAAAAATGATACAGTCTTAGTTTTGATGCGTAGAAATATATCTGATCGATAGGGACGTGAAAATTTTCCGGTTGTCAAATTGTTCGTCTGTTTTTTCGTCGCGTTTTTTCTAGAGAAGTTCGCGAATGCAGACTTGTATGGCCGAGCTATGGATAATTCCAGGTCGGTATCATCGATACTGCAGCCGGGGTGGTGTACTTTTACTTATGGGCGTCTTCACTATTCTACGTGAAGCAGTGTTGTGAAGTTCCGATCTTTTTTTCATTTTGGGAGTATTTCCCAAGCAATCAAGAAGTGACCACAATAGGCCAGCACGTGTCCAGGACGGATTTCGAGTGGTGTTACATCGAGGAACCGCATGCCAGTCGAAGGAAGATTATCCTGCAAAAGTATCCGCAGATCAAGAAATTTTTCGGTTATGATCCGCGGTTCAATTTTGTGACTGGTGCCATGGTGCTAACGCAGTTTGCGGTGTTGTTCATAATGAAGGACCAATGGTGGAAGATGATTTTCCTGGTGGCATCTTTCTTTGGAGGGGTAATTAATCATTCGCTAGAGCTCGCCTGTCACGAGATTGCTCACAATCTGGTTTTTGGACATGCAAGGCCGATGGTAAAAATGCTGTTTGGATTTTTCTGCAACCTCCCGATCAGAGGAGCGGATGCATTCAACGAAACTTTTAAGCGCAAAAGAATCATTACCAACATAGGAGAAATTCGGTAAGATCCTTCCATTGCATTATTTTATGATTCTTCAAAATTGTACAAATATTTACACATTACACACAACTACACATAGTAGCTCGGAGCGTTTGGTACGGTATGTCCACGCATCCTTCCACCCCTGTAGATTCAAGAAATGTTCCCATTCATTTTCAATTCAAGAATCATCTTTGCGGCAAATACAACGCAGTAGGCATGGCCGTATTGATGTTTATATCATATCTCAGATATACTGCAAACATCAATTAGACAAGAAAAATGATTAGACCTCATCTAACCTAATCATTTTCCAGGATGTTTTCTCGTACTGGCTGCGTTTGTATTAGATTATATTAGATAAGATTAGATTAGTAGAAATATTTCTGATCGATTGGTGTTAAAATTACTAAAATTGGTCCAGGGGCAGCTGAGTTATTAACGTTCAAAATCTTTCATAATTTTGTTACATGTTCCATTTTCGGTTTTCACAAAGTGTACCCCCATATAAAAATCACAGACGTAGTCTTACGTCAAAACCAACTTTGGGCTTGGAAACAGTATAATTAAGATATTTCGAATGGGCAAAAACATTAAATGCCCAGAGTAAAATACTCACTCCCAAATGTGACTAAGTGATCTTAAAAAAATTCATAACTCTGTTGTTTTGTAAATTCAGGCGCGTTGAAATCATGAAAGGAAACGAGCTTTAAAATTATTAAAATTGATACTTGAATTGGAAATTGAATAACGTAATAGTTCAAGACCTTTACCAACAGGGTTTTTTTTAGATTTGAACATGGAAAACTGGGGAAACAGCGGACATTTCAAAATGTAAATTAACTGGCCACCCTGCTTGAAATTCTTCTCTGAATTACCTAGGAATTCTGCCTACGATCCCTTTGTTGTGATTTGTACTATTGGCGAATTTCATTTTGGTTCAGCATGTTGCAAAGGAGGCTTTTGCCATTCAAAAAATCCTGTGGGCCAAAAAATAGCTTGGATTTGATTTGGAATTTTTTTTTAACTTACCGGCGAGATCGAAAATAAATTCTGGCAACCATGACAAATTTCAGTTCGAAAATCGATTGTTCGATGTTGATAATACAGGAATATTGATTCTCGAACTGTCACTAAGGCTGTGAACCATTTGCCGAGTTAAATTTAACTCGTGGTTAAAAGTGACATTTCGAAAGTTATTCTCTATGTTCGAAAATCCTTGTGCTGTCGATCGACCGGTTTTCGATAAGAACTCAACCACGATTGTCAAAATTTATCATTTTGTCTGTCAGAAATAACCACGCTCGGATAGCAGGGTTAATCGATAACTTTCCATCTATCAAATTTAAACCAAAGGTTAAGAAAATCCACCAAATGATATAGGAGCTAGAGGTGGGCAAATCAGCTCATCTGGGTGAGTGGATCAGACCCGTCAAGCTTAAGGAGAGCCAATTCTTTGGAACAGCTCTTCGGCTCACATTGAAATTATTGAAATTTTGACACAAAGTATAAACGGAGCTACATAAAATCGTAAAATTAGTCTAAAACAAAAAAATCGTATCTTACAACAGGCTCTACTTTTCAATTGATTACGCAACAACTGAATAACCACCGCGTAAACCAAAATGCGCGTAAATTGAGCCTACAACATATTAGTAAAAGCAAAAAAATGTATGCGATAGAGCTACATCTATATCACACGGGAGGAATTGACATCGTTTCACACGATGTTGCGTCTTTTCTCATATGCTATGCAATCCAGTCTATATTGATGTTAATTCTCCAGCAAAAATGCTCTCAATATTCTCGACTTCAGTCTCAGATCATCAGCATGATCCGGAGAGATGAACCATAAAAAAAACGTGAAAAAAGATCTGCAGGACGTGTTCGGTCTGGGAAGGCAATTTCCCTTTCGGCAGTGGACTGTATCGGCAATGATTGGTGGAGGAGGCAAGCGTCGATCTAAATCAAACTCTTTGAGCTCTGAAAAGAGCTGGGGGTGGGGTTCAACGCTTGCTCCGAACCAGGGATGCTTGCTGGGTAATTATTCAAACGGCGAACGGCTACGCTAGTAACTACTTTATTTCTCTACTGCTTTTGTTTACAAAGGTTTGCTTTCTTCTGCTGCTTGCTGATGCTTACTCGTGGCCGGTCAAAAGGTAACTGATTGTCAGTTTGCCTAATGGGTGCCACTTTTATAGGAGCGCGCTGTCTGCGCATGGTGATATGGACGTCGCTGATTGGTTAGTGTTGTTTGTCGCTGTTCGTCAGCGGCGATTGTCAAGATGGTTGGTTCACTTTCGGCGGAGACGGAACAGGACGGATCCAAAGAGCTCGACGGGTCCGAGAGCTGGTATCCTAAACAGCTCTCACTGAATCATTCGGCTCGATGATTCAGATCCGGAGCTGAGCTGTGAAGTGGAGAGCTGCATTTTGATTTTCGGTTATTTACTTTTGTGCGGATCTTCCGCTCTCCCAAAGAATGATGGGAGGAGAAGTGAGAGTACATATGCTGGAGCAATAACATCAGCAATAAGAGCTGTGTACGGAAATACATTGGATAATACCAGTAGAAATTTAACATCGTGTAACACATGTACATATGTCTCTCTCTCTCAATCATTCGCTTGGAAGTTTCCTTTACCGTTGATCCTATCAATTAGTAGGCACATGTTGTATTACACGCGCATATTGGTTTACACGGTAGCTGTTCAATGCGTACGTGGAGTAATCAGTCCTTTTTTATGCTTCTTGTGATCTGATGAGCTGCGGTTCCTAAAAAATGAACCGTGGGTCATCCGCTCACTTTAGTAAAAACTCGATCTTCTCTAATTTGCTTGAAACTTTGCATACTAGATAGAGCTGGAATTAGGGCGTAACAGCTTTTGTAAACAATGGCTTCTCTCGATGATTTCTCGAAAGACTTCCCCTACCCGATGGATATGTTGGTTTGTGTAGATGTGCCTTGAGTTGCTAGAAATCACCGAGAGAAGTCATTGTCTACAAAAGCTGTTACGCCCTAATTCCAGCTCTATCGACAATTGTTTATTAAGGGCAATGATTCGCATCTTTGCTAAAATTCGGCTATTTTGGAACTTTTAAAGTAAAGTAAAGTTCTGCAAATTTTAAGGGGCGTTCTGCGAAATTCAGAATATTTTTGAACTTCAAGCTTTACGAACTTCAATGAAGATCCCCGAAGTCAAGAAAAATTGTATGAACTGCAACCAAGTTCTGTAAACCCCAAGAAATTCTTGCTAACTCCGGATAAATAAAGGGAATAACCTTTAGATGAGCTCATTGAACTTCAGGGAAGTTATGCAAAATTTCAAGACGCGCGTCGAACTGCAGAGAAATTCTTCAAACTTTAGGAAAAGTACTACGAACTTCAGGGACGTTTTGCGAGCTTCATGGAGTTGCAAGGAACTTTAAGAGAGTTCTGTGAACTCTCTAGCAAAAGTATACGAACTTTAATTTCCAAACTCCAGGAAAGTTCTAAAAAAATCAGAAAAGTTTTTCAGTCGTCAGGAAAGTTCTGTAAACACGAAGGAAGTTCTGCGCACCGCATGGAAAATCTAATAAAGGTTGTCCCACATCAAATTGCATCACGGAAAAACGCTGTACAAAACTACCCATTGGGTATTTTCTCTTGAGAATTTGAGTAGAAGTAGTTTAGTGTGTATTGTTTACACTGTATTTTTATCGCTGTCATTTTTTCGAAAGTTGGTTAAAAATGACGTCACCCGAAAAGCAACGTCGCGAATTGATTTTGCGCAAGCACCTGGAAAATCCTCAACTCTCTCATCGGGACATCGGAAAATACCTCGGAACCGTGCAGTCAACGGTGAGCCGTGTGATTGAACGTTACTACGAAACTCTGAGCATCGAACGGAAGGAGAAATGCGATCAGAATGGATGTTCTATTAGTGATCAGGATCACAAGCGTGTCGTGAAAGTCTTTAAGCGGAATCCCAATGCGTCGGTCTGGGATGTGGCCAAAAAGTTGAATCTGTCCAAGTCTTCCATTCAGAGAGCCAAGTACCGGGAGGGACTGCATACGTACAAAGTACAGAAGGCTCCAAACGAACGGCAAAATACGGTGGGAAAGTCACGGGTCCGGAAACTGTACACCCAGATGCTGACGAAGCCTCATTGTCTCATCATGGATGTTGAGACTTTTTGGCGGACAATCAACCGACGGAACCAGACGGACAGGTTTAACCAGGATAATCGGACAGAATGAAGGTATACACGACCGCGTACTTTGAACAATGTGTTTTTATTAATGATGCGCAAATTACAGAACGTCAGTGGTAATGTTGTTTCTCTGCAGGGGTGGATTCACGTATGCGTCTAGCGTAACAACTAGAAAGGGCGCAACACTCCTCCTCGCGAATTTGACCTCGAGTCTCCTCAACAGTCTCCTCCTCGATCGGCACGGTTGCCAATCCCATCTTCGTAGCGAATCTTTTGACCTTTGTTGACCCGAGTGGCTTGGTCAAGATATCCGCAACCATATACTCCGATGCACAGTACTGCAGCTCGATATCACCAGAAGAACAGCAGTTCCTGGTGTAGTGGTACCGCGTGTCAATGTGTTTCGACCCTTTCTTCTACTGATCCAATGCGACGAAATCTAGGCAACTCTTGTTATCTTCGAAAATAACTGTCGGCCGCCGTTGATTCTCGTTCAGTTCAGTTAGCAAACGCCGCAACCAAACAACCTCTTGCGTAGCCTCTGAGAGGGCCACATATTCGGCCTCCATGGTAGACATGGCCACACAGCTCTGCTTCCGGCTCACCCAAGTCACGGTTACTTGGGGGTTACTCAACATGTAACCGGTACAGGATTTACGGTCAGTGCTGTCACCAGCCCAATCCGCATCGCAATATCCTGACAACAGTAGCTCACAATCACCCCTTCCAAGCGTCAATCCGTAGTCAAGCGTGTGTAGCAGGTAGCGTACAATACGTTTGGCTTCGGTCCAGTCCGTCACCGATGGGCAACTAACTTTCCGGCTCAATATTCCAACTGCCGCTGCGACATCTGGACGGCTGTTGACAGACAGGTATAGCAGGCAACCGATTAACTTGCGATATTCTTCGTTGCTTTCCATCTTCAGGCTACCCTCGGTCACCTTATAGTATCCCGGATCCATTGAGTACTGCGACCCTTTAGCGTTGTCCAACTCGAATCGTGTCGCAACTCATCTGATGAAAGCACTCTGAGAAATCACAAAGAAACCTTCCGCATTCTTTCGCACACGAATACCTAAGAAGCTCCTGATATCTCCCAGCCTTGTAATCTTCAGTCGATCTTGCAAAGCTTGCTCGATCTGGTCGATTTCCTCCCATGTGTGTAGCACAACAGCAAGTCATCCACATATATGAGGATATACATCCACCCGTTCTCACCAATACGCTTCCGATAAAGGCACGAATCTGAACTGCACTGTTCGAAACCAAGCTGCTTCAGTATATCCGTAAGCGTCTTGTGCCAAACTCTTGCAGCTTGTTTCAAGCCGTAAATGCTCCGCTTTAATCTGCACATTTTCTTCTCAGATCCAGGCACCTTGTACCCCGTAGGTTGCCTCATGAACACCACCTCATCCAGCTTTCCATACAGGTATGTAGATTTTATGTCTAGGTGTTTTACGTACATCTGTCGATGGCCCGCAACAGTTAACAGCACACGAAAGGTAGAACTCATCGCCACAGGAGCAAATATGTCCTCATAATCAGACCCAAAGCGCTGACTGCATCCTTGCGCTACGAGTCTGGCCTTCATTCGCTCAACCTTTCCGTCCGCGTCTATCTTTTTCCACAAGCTCCCATGTATCGTTCGACACCAATGAATCGTACTCAGCATCCATCGCAGCAATCCAGTCCTTCTTCTCAGCACAGCTGACAGCTTGCTCGTACGAAGTCGGCTCATCCTGGTCCACCGTTGCCATTCCAACAAAATAATCGCAGAATCGTGCTGGCAAAACTCCTCTTGTGGAACGACGAGGATTTTCCCGCTGATTTTAATCCTCCGGAACAGGAATATCTTCACCGTGATAGAGATCTTCAGCCGATTCATATCCATCAAAGGGTTCTTCAACTTCAGGTTCTTCTTCGGATTCAGACACAGGTGCCACTTCACGCGTGCTTTCCGGAACCGGTAGTGGTTCCAACTCGACTGTCGATTCAGTAACTTCCAGCTTCCGATCGGCACCGCTTTCACTATCCATGCGCCAATCTTCCAGGAACTTCACATCCCGGCTGATGGTGATTCGTCCCGAACCCATATCCAGCAGCCTATAGGCCTTATGCTCGTTGGAGTAGCCTACAAACACCAGTTTTCGCGCTTTAGGTTCCAGTTTCTTACGCGTCTCAGCTGGAATATGCACCCACGCATCACAGCCGAAGATCCGGAAGTGCTCATACTACGGAAGTGCTCATACGACGGAAGTCTTCCGTACCATTTTTCATAGGGGCTCATTCCGATGGATCTAGAAGGTACCCGATTCTGAATGTAGGTCGCTGTTAGAATCGCCTCCCCCAGTACCTCTGGTCTGGAAATCTGCGTCCTGTATGTCTTTAGATTTAGGCTCTGAACCATTTGGTGGATTATTTTTAACTTTTGGTTAAAATTTGACAGATGGAAAGTTATCGATGAACCCTGCTATCCGACATTGGTTATTTCTGACAGACAAGAAAATTTTGACATCCGTGGGTCGAAAACAGGTCGATCGACAGCACGGGGATTTTCGAACATTGAAAATAACTTTCGAAATGTCACTTTTAACCACGAGTTAAATTTAACTCGGCAAATGGTTCACAGCCTTAGTACATACACACTACGAAAAAGACATGTAAATTTCAGTGTCCTGAGACCGACACATGCAAGCGGCCTTTTTGACATAAGAATCAGTTGAAAAGGATGGGAAAATCAATTCAATCAAACGCACTTTTCGTCAAGTTGCATATGTTTCAGTTTCAGGACACTTAATTTTACATGCCATGTTTGTTTACGTTCCATGATTTACGTCACAGCTGAATTACGTCTCGTGTAAAAATAATAATTTCTAAGTGTGTACAGCTGTGTTCGATAAAATAGCAGCGCATGCCGATTTTCATACAAATTGGTCAACTTTGACATGATGTAACTTTGTTAATTTATGAACAGTTGAGCTGAAACGTTCGCTGAAGAACTACAAATATGTTCAATTTTACGATTACAAAATATTAGGTTTTTGGAATCACCGGCCGTAAATTGAGACACCAGGTAAAATTGTTCAAAATAAAAAATACAGCTTTACTCAGAGTAAATATATTTGCTGCGAGTGAATTTGAGATGCTCATATTTACTCAAAAATGAACAAAGTAAAGGGTGTCCACGATGAAATTGCCACACACAAAATTGATTCACAAAATTCGAGTTTTCATCCGATTGCCATCAAATTTTCAGGGATTGAGAAATAACTATTAAACTTCATTTTACCATTTTAATCGTATTTTATTTACAGTCCATACGCAAATGCCCGCACCTTGGCCTTAACCCCGGCCATAAGATTCTGCACAACCTGTGAATCAACCGTTTTTTGCATGTAAACCCATACTTTCTTCAGTTCCTCGACTGTCTTCACTACCTTAGGTCGTTTAAGAAGGTGCTGCTTCATAATCGCCCAGTACTTCTCGATGGGGCGGAGCTCCGGAGTGTTGGGAGGGTTGAACATTTTCGGCACGAAATTGACCTTATTGTCCGCATACCACTTCAGCACGTCCTTGGAGTAGTGGCATGAGGCCAAATCCGGCCAGAAGATTGTTGGGACATTGTGGGCCTTCAGGAGAGGAAGCAGCCGCTTCTGGAGGCACTCTTTTATTTACACCTGTCCGTTCATCCTGGGTCACGAAAGGTGCACTCCGCTTCCCGCACGTGCAGATGGCTTGCCAAACCAGGAATTTCTTCGCAAATTTGGACATCTTCTGAGTGCGGACATGCTCCGGAACGCTGAACTTATCCTTGGCCGTGAAAAACAGGTTGCCGGGGATCTGTTTGAAGTCGGCCTTCACATATGTTTCGTCGTCCATGATGCAGCATTCAACTTTCGTCAGCATGTTGAGGTACAACTTCCTGGCACGGGTTTTGGTGGACTTGTTCTGCTTCTCGTCGCGATTAGGGGCCTTTTGTACCTTGAACGTTCGAAGCCCAGCCTTAGTTTTGGCCTTCTGGACAAAACTTCGGCTTAGGTGCAGCTTCTTAGCCACATCCCTAACGGAGGCGTTCGGATTTCGGTTGAAGGCCCCAACTACGCGGTTATGATTTTTGGTGTTGTACGGAATACTTTTTCCTTCACTTCTGGGCTTCCGATCGGTGGTCAACCGTTCCTCGAACCGCTTAATCACTCGCGACACCGTGGAATTCGCGATTCCCAACGTTTTAGCGATGGAACGATGCGAGAGATCCTTGTTCTCGTGATGAATGCGCAAGATTTTATCACGCACGAGCTGTTCTTTCGACTCCATTTCCGCGAGTTTTGATCACAGGACTTTAAAACTTGCAGGATGTAAATAATGCACTATGAACTAAATCCACCCAAATTTTCATTAAATTCTACCCAACGGTTAAAAAGTTAGAGCAATTTCATAGTGTGGCAATTTCATCGTGGACACCCTTTAGTGACAAAAGTCACTTCGTCTCTCGGATAACATCAAGGATCTAGAAAAAATTTCATTCCTTGCCTAGGAATTCTCCTCAGAATTCCATTAAAGTTTTAAATTACTAACAGAATTGTCTAGGAAATATCCTCAGGATTCTCCTGCTCTTGGAATTCACCCGAGGTTTCGCAAAGGATTGTCCCAAAATTACCTTGGAATTTGCATCAGAATACCACGAGATTGTTTCTCAAATTTCTTTTGAGAAAATCTCTTAGAATTTCTTCGGATCTATTCTGAGAAATAGATTCCCTTCTTAATGCCCTTGGAACATTCTGCTACTTAGAATTCTTTGGAAATTTGCTTTGAAATACTCCTTATCGCGCGTCAAAATGATAGAGGAAGAGATGAAGAATGTACAGGGGTTACTCAAAATAACTAGGATAGGAAAATTTTTGGTCAACTGTGGAGTGTTGTAACTTCGTCAAATATAATCCGATTTTAAATCTTTCAAGAGCAGTTGACTGAAAACTAATATTGTTCAGCTCTTTCTTAATGGTTTCTCGTCAATAGACTTTCGATAAACTTTAAATGTATCATTGACCACATTGGCCACTCTCGGAACATCCGGTATGCCCCCGGGGGAACCTGGAGCAGGGGACAATTGCATTTTTACACCAAAACATGCCGTGCGACAGCTCATTCTTCATGGTTTTTCAAGAATATTTCAACTCTCGGACTCAATCACTGGCATGCGAGATCACATTGCTGCTCAGATAGACATCGCGTTAAAGAGCGGCCGAAATGTAAATGGTATTGAAAAATTAATTTGTGAGAAATTAGACAATATGAAACACTCATTTTTTCAAATTACTGCAATTAGCTGTAGCCAATGACCAGCGCAGTGTATCTAGGACGGTTCAGTCGGAATCGGACCAAAATATTTACCGGACGCAAAAAAAAAAAAAAAAAATAGTGATTAGTAATAGTGATAATGATGATGATGTTTTTCAAGAAAATGCGAGTTTTGCGGATGTTGTAAAAAGACATAGTCGTGCAAGTAAAAGTAAAAATATTAGTAACAGTAATAGTAACATTTACAGTGACAGTAACAGTAACAAACAGAGTAATCATAAGACTCGTCCGGTCATTGTGATTAAACCGAAAGAGTCCAAACAAGCTTGTGAAGATACTCGTAAGTTTTTGAAAACACAGTTAGATCCGAGGTTAGATCCAAAAACACACAAAATCAGTTATTTTAGGAATGGTAAAGCTGGCTCTGAGTGCTGATTCATTTTCAAGGGGCTCATGGATGAACAAGTATCCAATTGCTCAAGGATTGTGATGATAATAATCAATCGGTGTATCCCTCAACCCATTTTCAGCTTGACAGCTCAGCCCAACTAACGAAAGCCTTTCACTAAGTGGGCTATGGGTTTAGTCCAACGAGCGAAAGTTGACTGTACTGGCAAAACTAAAATAACAGTTATGATTAAGTTCCATAAAACAATTTCTTGAA